GCGGCAGTGTCGCACCCGCCCCTCTCGTGCTCCCCTCGTCCTCCTCTCGTCCTTCCCTCGTCCTCCTCTCCTCCTCCTCCTCTCGTCCTCCTGTCCTCCTCCTCTCGTCCTCCTCTCGTCCTCCTCTCGTCCTCCTCTCGTACTCCTGTCGTCCTCCACTCGCCCTCCTCTCGTACTCCTCTCGTCCTCCACTCGCCCTCCTCTCGTCCTCCTCTTGTCCTCCTACCGTCCTCCTCTCGTCCTCCTCCCGGCCTCCTCTCCTCCTCCCCTCCTGCTCCTGTCGTCATCCCCTCGTCCAACTCTCGTCCTATTATCGTCCTCCTCTCGTCGTCCTCTCGTCCTCCTCTCGTCCTCCTCTCCTCCTCCCCTCCTCCTCCTGTCGTCCTCCCCTCGTCCTTCTCTGGTCCTCGTCTCGTCCTCCTCTCCTCCTCCTCCTCCTCCTCCTCCTCCTCCTCCTCTCGTCCTCCTCTCGTCCTCCTCTCGGCCTCCTCTCCTCCTCCCCTCCTCCTCCCCTCCTCCCCCTGTCCTCCTCCCGTCCTCCTCGCGTCCTCCTCTCGTCTCCCGCCCCTCCCCCATCCTCATCCCCTGCCCCACTCCCCTCGACTGGCCTGCCGCTCCCCCCACGCGCCTCTCCGGTCCGAGTCACCCCCCACTCGTCCGACCGAGAGCAGGGCGCGCGTGCACGCTGCATATGCACGGGAGATGCCGTCGGACCTGGGCCAAAAATTAGCCTGGCGAAGGACCCAACCATATGCAGTGAGTACCGTCGTTGTGAGTATCGCAATCGGTGGAGATCCCTGTGGGCCGCGAAAGGCTGTCCTGGGTAGGGGACACGCATGTGACTGCAGCAACTGTTGCCTTCGGTGGAGCTCCCTATGGGGCCACGAAACGCTGTCCTGGGTGGGTGGAGACGCATGCGAACTGCGGCACTGGGGCTTTCGGTTGAGCTCCCTGTGGGGCAACGAAACGCTGTCCTGGATGGGGGAGACGCATGCGAGTGCAGTTGTGGCCTTCGGTGGAGCTCCATATGGGGCCACGAAGCGCTGTCCTGGATTGGGGAGACGCATGCGAACTGCGCCACTGGGACTTCGGTGGAGCTCCTTATGGGGCTACGAAAGGTTGGCCTGGGTGGGGGAGACGCATGCGAACTGCGCCACTGGGGCCTTCCTGGGTGGGGGAGACGCATGCGAACTGCGCCACTGGGACCCTCGGTGGAGCTCCCTATGGGGCCACGGAACGTTGTCCTGGGTGGGGGAGACGCATGCGAACTGCGCCACTGGGGCCTTTGGTGGAGCTCCCTATGGGGCCACGAAACGTTGCGAACTGCGCCCTGGGTCGGTGGGAGACGCTGTCCTGGGCGGGGGGGACGCATGAACTGCGCCACTGGGACCCTCGGTGGAGCTCTCTATGGGGCCACGAAACGCTGTCCTGGGTGGGGGGAGACGCATGCGAACTGCGGCATTGGGACCCTCGGTGGAGCTCCCTATGGGGCCACGAAACGCTGTCCTGGGTGGGGGAGACGCATGCGAACTGCGCCACTGGGCCTCGGTGGGGCTCCCTATGGGGCCACGAAACGCTGTCCTGGGTGGGGGAGACGCATGCGAACTGCGCCACTGGGACCCTCGGTGGAGCTCCCTATGGGGCCACGAAACGCTGTCCTGGTTGGGGGAGACGCATGCGAACTGCACCACTGGGCCTCGGTGGGGCTCCCTATGGGGCCACGAAACGCTGTCCTTGGTGGGGGAGACGCATGCTAACTGCGCCACTGGGACCCTCGGTGGAGCTCCCTATGGGGCCACGAAACGCTGTCCTGGGTGGGGGGGACGCATGATAACTGCGCCACTGGGACCCTCGGTGGGGTTCCCTATGGGGCCACGAAACGCTGTCCTGGGCGGGGGAGACGCATGCGAACTGCGCCACTGGGACTTCGGTGGAGCTTCCTATGAGGCCACGAAACGTTGTCCTCCTGGATGGGGGAGACGCATGCGAACTGCGCCACTGGGGCCTTCGGTGGAGCTCCCTATGGGGCCACGAAACGCTGTCCTGGGTGGGGGAGACGCATGCGAACTGCGCCACTGGGACTTCGGTGGAGCTTCCTATGGGGCCACGAAAAGCTGTCCTGGGTGGGGGAGACGCATGCGAACTGCGCCACTGGGACCCTCGGTGGAGCTCCCTATGGGGCCACGAAACATTGTCCTGGGTGGGGGAGACGCATGCGAACTGCGCCACTGGGCCCTTAGGTGGAGCTCCCTATGGGGCTACGAAACGTGTGAGGGGTGCGCCGTGAGCAGAGGCAACGAGGGAGAGGAGGGCGGAGGGAGGAGGCAGCGGGAGGAGGAGGGAGTGAGGGAGACGCGGGGCACCGTCTCTTCAAAACGAGGACCCAACACCACAGGATGGTTGGGAAATAGCATCCCTCGAGAACACGACGACTCTCCGCCGGCCACAACACACAGAACATCCCAAAGGGTACTCCAGATTCCATAACAAAGGGGGGTGGGTCACATGTGGGGGGGGTCTGATTCGAGCTGTCTTGGAGTTTTCGGAGGGGGTCTGGACAAAGGGCAGCCCTTTCATGGATGGTCTGGGGGGATCTAAAACTTCTCGTCTGGGAGGGTTGTGACCCCCTCCCTTTTATCACGAAATCTGGAGTACCCTCCCCAGAATGCACAAGAACATCCAACAAGCACGAAGAACACCAGGGCACCCTCCCCGAACCGACCTCGACCTTACACCTCGGTCCGACTGCGAGGGGAGCGGTGAGGAAAGGCCGGCCTCCCTGCCGACGGGCCGCGGCGACCCCAAGGAGGACGAGGACCAGCAGCTGGAGCGGCAGGGGGGAGAGGAGCAGAGCCGGAGCAGACGGATGGCAGGGGGGAGGAGGGAGGAGGATGAGGAGGAGCAGAGGAGGGGGAGCAGGAAAGAGAAAGAGGGAGGAGGGAGAAAAGGGAGGGGGAGATGAGGAGGGTAGAGGAGAGGAAAGATGAAAGAGGACAGGGAGAAGGAGGAGAGTATCACGGCGAAGACGACGACAACGACGATGAGAAGGCGATGAAGACTACGAAGGGGCAAAAGAAAATACAGATGAACATAGAAGGAGGGCCCCGGCGCTGCGCGCAGGGAGGGCGGCGACCGATGACGACGATCGTCACGGTCACAACGACGGCGACGACGCAACGACGACGACGACCACGACCACCACCACCACGACGAAGACGACGACGACGACGACCACGTCCACGTCCACGACGACGACGACGACGACGACGACGACGACGACGACGGCGACGACGACGGCGACGACGACGTAGAGAGACGACGGCGACGACGACGACGACGTTGGGAACGTGAAGAATACGATGCGAGCGACAAAACAGGGGAGGAAGACCAGGTCGAGGTCGGGGGCTGGGATGAGGAGAAACAGGGCGAAAGCGGTAGCCTTCCATCGACCTCTTGTTCATCCTCCCAGCTTCCCAGCCCCTAGCTCCTCCTCTCCCTCCTCCTCGAGACCCCTGGCGGCCCCCAAGACAGCGCAAGGCCTCCACAGACCTTCGATCCTGAGACTTTCGGAACCGAGCATCTCGCGGACGAGGAAGCAGATGCAAGGAAAGGAAAGAGAATGAGAAGCAGATGCAACGACGACAAGCGACGACGACGACAACAAAGGACAAGCGACGACGACGACGACGACGACGACGACGACGACGACGACGACTACGAACGACGACGAGCGACGACGACGACGAACGACGACGACGACGTCAAACCACAAACGACGACGACGACAACGAACGACGACAAGGGACGACGACGACGACAACGAACGACGACGACGAACGACGACGACGAACAACGACGACGACGACCACGACGACCACGACAAACGACGATGACGACGACGACGAACGACGACGATCGACGACGACGACGACGACGACGACCACGACGACGACAACTACGAACGACGACGACAAACGACGACGACAAACGACGACGACGACGACCACGACCACGACCACGACGACAAACGACGACGACGACGACGACGACGACGACGAACGATGACGAGCGACGACGACGACGACGACGACGAATGACGCCGAGCGTGGAGCGGGGACGAACGACGACGAGCGACGACGAAGGCGACGACGACAACGACGACGACGACGAACGACGAACGAGCAACGACGACGACGAACACCGACGAGCGAACGACGGTTGCGATGACGACGACGACGACGACAAACGATGACAACGACGACGACGAACAGAACGACGACGACGACGATCGACGACGACGATCGACGACGAGCGACTACGACGACGACGAACGACGACGACGACGAACGACGACGAGCGAACGACAAACGACGAACGACGACGAACGCTGACGAGCGAAGACGACGACGAGCGACGACGACGACGACGACGACAAATGACGACGGCGACGACGGGAAGACGACGAAGAGCGACGACGACAAGGAACGACGACGAACGACGACGAAGAGAACGACGACAACGACGGCGAACGACGACGACGGAGACGACGACGAACGACGACGAGCGACGACGACGGAGACGACGACGACGAGCGACGACGACGAGAAGACACCATGACCATGACGACCACGACGACGACGACGACAAACGACGTCGACGACGACGAACGGAACGACGACAACGACGAACGACGAATACGAAGGACGATGACGACGACGAACGATGACGAACGACAAACGACGACGACGACCAACGACGACGACAAACGGCGATGACAACGACGACGACGAACGACGACGATCGACGACGACGACGACGACGACGAAGGACAACGAATGACAACGACGACCGACGAACGACGACGACGAGTGAGGAAGACGACGAACGACGACGAGTGACGACGGCAACGACGACGACGACGACGATGGCAAACGATGGCGACGAAGGCGAGGAAGGACGACGACGACCACGACGACGACGACGGCGAGGAAGGACGACGGCGACGACGACGACGACGACGACGACGACGACGACGACGACTACGACGACGACGACCACGACGATCACCAACGACCACCGCGACCAGCAACGTTTTTCGTCCTTGCGCCTCCGCGGACGCCCGGCTCACCCGAACAGGTTGTCCCAGTCGGGACCGGCGGGCTCGAGCGGGCGCTTCGCACCAGCTGGGTCCTGGCACGCCGGGGAGACGAGGAGCAGGGCGAAGGGAGGGAGGAGCAGCAGGAAGGAGAAGGATGGAAGAGGAGGGAGGGAGGGAGGGAGGGGGGGGGAGGGCGAGGGAGAGGGAGAGGGACAGGAGGAGGAGGAGGAGGAGGAGGAGGAGGAGGAGGAGGAGGAGGAGGAGGAGGAGGAGGAGGAGGAAGGAGGAGGAGGAGGAGGAGGAGGATGAGGAGGAGGAGGAGTTGATGTGATGAGACCAATCGCGAAGCGAAGTTATGAACTAGAGACCCCGAACCGCCTTCTCTGCCTTGCTCATGAGACGGGTGGCCCGTGAGATACTCTGGGCAGGCGGTCGGTCACTCGCTCGAGATTGAAGAATTCTGACTCAGGCCACTTCGCTGTACTTGTTTCTGAGGTAGAACCACGCCACCTGGAAAACTCTGTCCTGCAAGATTCCACACGATGCACAAAGTTAAAAGGGCGACCACCGAAGGGGCAGGGGGGAGCAGCAGCAGGAGCACGAGGACGACTGACTTTTCCTAGGGCTCCCAACTTCGCGCTTCGCGCTGCGCGAAGCGCGAAGCGCGAATAACTTCGCGCTCTCGCGCCGCCCTCCCAAAGGGAGAATAGGAGGACGAGGAGGAGGAGGAGAAGGAACGAGGACCGCGAAGCGCGAAGCGCGAATAACTTCGCGCCCTCGAGGGAGCCCTTGCTTTTCCCCCTCGCACCGACACGCTTCCAGGGTGGCCCTCAAGAGCCGTTCCCGAATCAAACGAGCACCAGCCTCGACCTGGAGAGCACTGGCCCGACGTGCATGAAGAACGCCAAAAAACTTAGCAGCGACACGCGCGGGATGATCGACGAAAACGCTGCCTACAACCAAATGTCCAGGCACTTGCCTGGCATACACTTCTTCGGCCTCGATGTGATAAGGAGCTTCCAGAACGCACATGTCGCCACGGTGACGGCCCGTCGCCTGGATGGCATCGTTCAACCTCCTCCAGAAATCGGCATAGGGCCCCTGAGGGGCCTCGAAAACTTTGAACCAGAAGCCCCTGGAGACTTCCTGGTCAGCGACATAGGCCAGGGGCCCACGATATTGCTCAGCGGCAATAGCAAATCAACATGATACCGGAGAAAAAAAAAAAAAACGGTTTTTTTTATATTCCAACTGCTCCCTTATAGGGCTATAGGGCTATCGGGTTATAGGGCTATGCGGCTATCGGGCTATAGGGCTATAGGGCTATCGGGCTATAGGGCTATAGGGCTATAGAGCTATGGGACTGTGACCTATAGGGCTATAGGGCTAGGGCTATGGGGCTATAGAGCTATTTGGGCTATGGGGCTATAGGGAAATAAGGCTATTAGGGCTATAGGGATATAAGGCTATAGGGCTACAGGGCTATAGGGCTATACGGCTATAGGGCTATAGGGCTATAGGGCTACTGGGCTATTGGGCTATTGGGCACCCCCGGGCACCCGGGCACCCCCGGGCACCCGGGCACCCCCCCACGATCACCGCCAGCAAACAACTCTGGGTCCCTACCACCGTCCGCACCATATCCCCCACTGCTGTCGCCAGCACCACTGTCCTCACCACCATTGTCCGAACTATTCCCACCACCGTCACCACTGTCCTCACCAGTGCCCCCACCGCTGTCGCACTGTCCCCACTGTCCCCACCACTCTTCCCACCACGGTTCCACTCCCCATTTTCTCCACGGCCCCAACCACTGTCCCACTGTCCCCACTGTCCCACTGTCCCTCTGTCCCCGCCGCTGTCCCACTGAGCTGTCCCACTGTTCCCACCACTGTCCCCACTGTCCCCACCACTGTCCTTACTGCACCTCTGTACCATTATCCCACCGCCGTGCTCGCCACTGCCCTCACCACTGTCGCCACCACCACTGTACCCTCCACTGTCCCACTGTTTCCACCACATTCCCAATGTCCCCACACCACTGTCCCCACCACCACCGTCCCCACCACCGTCCCACTGTCCCCGCTGTTCCCACTGTCCCCACCACTCTCCCTACTGTACCTCTGTCCCATTATCCCACCGCCGTCCCCGCCACCGCCCTCACCACTGTCGCCACAACCACTGTACCCTCCACTGTCCCACTGTTTCCACCACATTCCCTCTGTCCCCGCACCACTGTCCCCACCACCACCGTCCCCACCACTGTCCCACTGTCCCCACTGTTCCCACCATTGTCCCCGCTGTCCCCACCAGTGCCCCCACCAGTGTCTCACTGTCCCCACCCTCCCCGCCATTATCCCACCACAATCCCACTCTCCCCACTTTCCCCACGGTCCCCACCACTGTCCCACTGTCCCCACTGTTCCCACCACTGTCCCACTGTCCCCGCCGCTGTCCCACTGTGCTGTCCCACCGTCCCAACTGTCCCCATCACTGTCCCACTGTCCCCAGTGTCCCCACCACTTTCCCCACTGTACTACTGTCCCACCACTGTCCGCACCAACGCCTTCACCACTGTCCCCACCACTACCGTCCCCACCACTGTCCCACTGTCCCCACTACCGTCCCGCTGTCCCCTCACCACTGTCCCACCCACCACCGTCCCCACCACTGTCCGCACCACTGTCCCACTGTCTCCGCACCACTGTCCCCACCACCACCGTTCCCACGACTGTCCCAACATCCCCACCATTCTCCAACTGTCCCGAGGAGCGGGCATCGTTTGCCGGCGGCGAGGGGGGGGGAGGGGCTCGAACCGGTAGTGACACCCCTCGGTTTTCGAGGGGGGGGGTCGAACCGGTAGTGACCCCCCCCCCGGTTTTCGAGGGAGGGGGGGTTCAAACCGGCAGTGACCCCCCCCTTTCCATGGACTGGGGGGGGGTTCGAACCAGTAGTACCCCCCCCCCCCCGGTTTTCGAAGGGGGGGGGACGGGTTAGGACCCCCAGTGACCCCCCTCCGGTTTTCCGCCAGCAGCGGTAGAGCACGCTCTTTCCATGATATCCACACCCCCATAAACATCACCCCCCTCTTGGCCGCCCCCGAGTTCTGGATCGGTAGAACGATGTACTGACAGCCTCCGGAAACCGACTAGAGCCCCCGTCCACACGTGCCTGGGGCAGACGACGAAAAAAGGCCCGTCCGAAGCCCGCCGAGCGCCGCCGTGTGCCGCGAGGGGCCCGTCGGGCGGAGGCGGGGGGCGGCGGCGGCGGGCCCGTCCGGGGCGATGGAGGAGAGGAAGAGGGAGAGGAAGAGGAGGAGGAGGAGGAGGAGGAGGAGGAGAAGGAGAACCCCTCGGGCTCCTCCTCCTCCTCTCCTCCTCTCCTCCTCCACTTCTCCTCATCCTCCTCCTTCTCCTCCTCCCTTTCTCCTCTCCTACTCTCCCTCCTCCTCCTCCTCCTCCTCCTCCTCCTCCTCTCCTCATCATTCCTCCTTCCCCCTCATCCCCTCCTCCGCCTTCCTACTCCTCCCTAATCTCGCTCCTCCCTACTCTCCTCCTCCCTCCTCCTCTCCTCCTCCCTCCTCCATCCTCCCTCCTCCTCCTCCATCCTCCCTCCTCCCTCTCCTCTCCTCCTCCTCCTCCTCCTCCTCCTCCCTTCCATCCTCCTCCTCCTCCTTCATTCCCCCTCCTACTCCCTATCCTGCCTCCTTCCTCCTCCTCTCCTCTCCTCCTCCTCCTTCCTCCTTCCTCCTCGGAGGCGGAGCGGGCGGCGGCGGCGCCGGCACGGCGGGCCCGGGGAGCTCTGGCGCGCCGGGCCCTCAGGCGGCCCGCTGGCCGCGCCTGCGAAGGACTGGCACCTGCCGCGGGGGATGTCGCTCACGGCGCGCACGCGTGCGCTCCGCCGGCGCGCACTTACGCGGCGGCCGCCGGCAGGACGAGGCCTATGGGGAGCGGCACTCCCTCTTCGGGCTATGAAATAAGAATGTTGGCAACTTAGAAAGCACAAGAGGAAATCGGACCCCAGACGCCTCGCCGAGCGCCGCGGCCGTTCCAGGGCGCGGAGGAAATGCCTATAAAGGGGGGCCAGGATCGAACCGGGGCAAATCGGGGATCCCTGAGATCTGGAGGCTCTGGGGGATGTGCCTGGCGCCGCGGCCGTTCCAGAGAGCTCCAGATGCCGAAGAGGCCGTCAGATGGCTGGGGGAGGAGGGATGGGGAGGGGGAGGGGGGGAGGGGCAGGGCGGAGGGGTTTGGAGAAGGAAGCGGTCTCATGATTCCTCCCGGGACCCTGCCCATGTTTCGAGCTGCGCCCGCCAGTAGCAACGGAAATGTTCGAAAACGAGTCGCCGATGTCGTCTCCAACCTCGATCCTCGATCGTCGACCCTCTACCGTCGAACCACTACGTCGTCGTCCTCGTCGTGGTCGTGAGCGTCGTCGTCGTGGTCGTGGTCGTCGTCGTCGTGGTCGTTGTCGTCGCCGTCGTCGTCGCCGTGGTCATCGTCGTGGTCGTAGCGTCGTCGTCGTCGTCGTGGTCGTGGTCGTGGTCATCGTCGTCGACGACGTCGTGTTCGTCGTCGTCGTGGTCGTGGTCGTCATTGTCGTAGTCGCGGATGTATTGGTCGTGGTCGTCCTCGTCGTCGTCGTCGTCGTCCTGGTCGTCGTCGTCGTCGTCGTGGTTGTGGTCGTCGTCGTCGTCGTCATCGTCGTGGTCGCAGTCGTCTTCGTCGTCGTCGTCGACATCATCATCGTGGCCGTGGTCGTGGTCGTCGTCGCCGTGTTCGTCGCCATCGTCGTCATCGTCGTGGTCGTCGTCGTCGTCGTGGTCGTGAGCGTCGTCGTCGTGGTCGTGGTCGTCGTCGTCGTGGTCGTCGCGGTCGTCGTGTCGTCGTGATCTTCGTGGTCATCGTCGTGGTCGTCGTCGTGGTCGTCGTCGGCGTGGTCGTGGTCGTTGTCGCTGTCGTGGTCGCCGTCGTGGTCGTCCTCGTCGTCGTGGTCGTCGTCGTCGTTGTCGTGGTCGATGTCTTCGTCGTGGTCGTGGTCGTTGTCATCGTCGTGGTCGTCTTCATCGTCGTGGTCGTCGTCGTCGTGGTCGTGGTCGTCGTCGTCGTGGTCGTCGTCATTTTCGTCGTCGTCGTGGTCGTTGTCGTCGTCGCGGTGATCGTCGTCGTCGCCGTGTTCGTCGTCATCGTCGTCGTGGTCGTGGTCGTGGTCGTCGTCGTCGTCGTCGTGGTCGTGGGCATGGTCCTGGTCATCGTCGTCGTGGTCGTGGTCGTCGTCGTCGTGGTCGTCTTTGCCGTCGTGGTCGTGATCGTGGTCGTCGTCATCATCATCATCGTCGTCGACGTCGTCGTGGCCGTGGTCGTGGTCGTCGTCTTCGTCGTGTTCGTCGTCATCGTCGTCGTCGTGGTCGTGGTCGTGGTCGTGGTGGTGGTGGCCGTGGTCGTCGTCATCGTTTTCCTCATCGTTGTGGTCGTGGTCGTCGTCGTCATGGCGTCGTCGTCGTCGTAGTCGTCGTCGTGGACATCGTTGCGGTCGTGGTCGTCGTCGTCGTCGTCATCGTCGTCGTCATCGTCATCGTGGTTTTAATCGTTTTCGTCGTGGTCGTCGTCGTCGTCGTGGTCGTGGTCGTCGTCGTCGTGGTCGTCGTCGTCATCATTGCTGTCGTGGTCGTGGTCGTCGTCGTCGGCGTGGTCGTGGTCGTGGTCGTGGTCGTCGTCGTCGTCGTGTTCGTCGCCATCGCCGTCGTGGTCGTGGTCGTCGGCATCGTCGTCGTCGCCGTCGTGGTCGTCATCGTCGTCGTGGTCGTGGTCGTCGTCGTCATCGTCGTCGTCATCGTCGTCGTCGTGGTCGTGGTCGTGGTCGTCGTCATCATCCTCGTCGTCGTCGTCGTGGCCGTCGTGGTCGTCGTGGTCGTCGTGGTAGTCGCGGTCGTCGTCGTCATCATCGTCGTCGTGGCGTCGTCGTCGTCACCATCGTCGTCGTCGTCGTGGTCGACGTCGTCGTCGTGGTCGTGGTCGTCGTCGTGGTCGTTGTCGTGATCGTCGTCATCGTCGTCATCGTCGTCGTCATGGTCGTCGGCGTCGCGATCGTGGTCGTCGTCGTCGTGGTCGTGGTCGTCGTCGTCGTGGTCGTCGTCGTCGTCGTCGTGGTCATGGTCGTCGTGGTCGTGATCGTCCTCGTCGTCATCATTGCCATCGTGGTCGTGGTCTTCATCGTAGTCGTGGTCGTGGTCGTCGTCGTCGCCGTTGTCGTGTTCGTCGTCATCGCCGTCGGTGTCGTGGCCGTCGCCGTCGTCGTCGTCATCGTGGTCGTGGTCGTGGTCGTGGTCGTCGTCTTCGTCGTCGTGGTCGTTGTCGTGATCGTCGTCGGCGTGCTCGTCGTCATCATCGTCGTCGTCGTGTTCGTGGTCGTGGTCATCGACGTCGTCGTCGTGTTCGTCGTCATCGTCGTCGCCGCCGTCGTCGTCGTCGTCGTGGTCATGGTCGCCGTGGTCGTCCTCGTCGTCGTCGTGGTCGTCGTGGTCGTCGTTGTCGTCGTCATCATCGTCGTCGTTGTCGTCCTCGCCGTCGTGGTCGTCGTCGTCGTCGTGGTCGTGGTCGTTGTCGTCGTCCTGGTCGTGGTCGTTGTCGTCGTCGTGGTCGTCATAGTCGTTGTCGTCGTCGTTGTAGTCGTGGTCGTGGTCGTGGTCGTCGTCATCACCGTGTTCGTCGTCGTCGTGTTCGTCGCCATCGTTGTCGTCGTGGTCGTCGTGGCCGTGGTCGTGGTCGTCGTCATCGTGTTCATCGTCGTTGTCGTCGTCGTGGTCGTCGTGGCCGTCGTTGTCGTCGTGCTCGTCGTGGTCGTCGTGGTCGTCGTCGTGGTCGTCGTGGTCGTCGTGGTCGTCGTGGTTGTCGTTATCGTCGTCGTGGTCGTCGTGGTCGTCGTGGTCGTCGTCATCGTCGTCGTCTGGACTCTGTGGGCAGGAAGCTGGAGCTCTGAGGGGACGGCGGCAGAAGGAGTGCCAACACGTTCCCCAGGGGCTGGCGTCGCGTCCCGAGCCGTTTCTGTGAACGGCCTCAGGGCCCAGCCAAGGCCCCCGGAGGGTCCGAGAACGGCGAGAACCTCGCTCCCTGGTGGCGCCTCGCTGGAGGATTCCAAGACATGAGATGCAAAACGAGCACGGAGAGAGTCGCACGAGGGGAACGGGGAGCCCTGGGCCTCCCGCTCCAGCACCCCGCCTGAGCCTCCCTCACAATCCTTGATTCAAGGATCGTGCTCTCGTCTCGATGCCAGCTCCATGTCTGGTCCAGACGGCCACGAGCCCGTGGGAAACGGATGCTGCTGTGCCCACGGCCGTGTCTCGCCCTCCTGAACTCCTCGACCCGCCTCTTCACCTGTGCTGCTGCTGGGCTGCTCTGCTGGAGACCTGCACTGATGTTTGTCCAGGCGCTGCTGGCCCTGGGAGGGGAGACCCCCGAAAGGGAGGGATATGCAAGACTCGGGTTCGGGGGACCCGAGCTTCCCTCACGGGGCGGGCCGTTGGGAACACGACGAGGCGCCGCCTGAAATCTGACGCGAGCTCCTGCTGCAGCGGAAGAAACAAATAACGGCACAAACATAAACTTTTGGCGCTCCGCGCGGATTTCTTGGATCGGCGCTGGACCCCCCTCCCTGGCGCGCGGAGCGCGCCAGGGGTGGCGCCGGAGGCGCCGCTGGGGGGGCCCAGCGCGGATCCAAGAGAATCCGCGCGGAGCGCCAAAGTTCGTTTATGCCGTTTTCTCTTCTGCGATGCAAGGCCCCCCACGAAAACTGGACGGTCAACATCCAGAACGGGCCCGTCAAAAAAACGTCGGCAAGCCAGAGGCCTGGCGAACTCGAGCGTCACGCCTCCCCGAGAAGGGGGGAGGGCGGACATCGTTGCCACCTCCTCATCCGCCTCCGCCTCCTCCTCCTCCGCCTTACCTCCTTCCCCTCCTCCTCCTCCTCCTCCTCCTCCTCCCTCCTCACTCCTCCTCCTCCCTAACTCTCTCCTCCCTCCTCCCTCCTCCCTCCTCCTCCTCTCCTCCTCCTCTCTCTCCTCCTCTCCTCCTCCTCCTCCTCCTCCTCCTCCTCCTAACCTCCGATCCTCCTCCGTATCTCCTCCTCATCTCCTCTCCTACTCGCCTCCTACTCCTCCTCCTCCTCCTCCTCCTTCCTCCTCCCTCTCCTCATTCCCCTCCCCCTCCTCCTCCCCCTATCCCTCTCCCTCCCTCCTCCTCCGCCTCCTCCTCCTCCTGATGCCTGTCGTCGGTCGGCAGGTTCCTGCGGGCCGCGGCGCGGTCGCCGAGGATCGGGTGCGCCGAAGAGGGGAGGCAGGAAGAATTCGGTGGCAACTCATGGGAGCCTCCCATACCATCCTGCTGGCTCTTGCGAATCGGCGCCAGTCGACGCTAGTCAACGCTGAATCGGCGCTACAACTGACGCTGATTAGTACGAAAAAACATGGATTACCAGACGCTGATCGACGCGAATGCACTCCAGAGCCAGAATTACGAGGGTACACGAGGGCTCCCGTGATCGGAAGCCGAAGATTGGCGGCGCGCAGAGGGGCGGTAGGGGGTTGGGGGAAGGCTTCTCAGAAGAATGCTGCTTCTTAGAAGGCGCTGGCCTCACATTTATACAGGAGGCCCGCGCCTTCTGAGAAGCAGGGGTGCTCCTAAGAAGCCCTCCCCCCTCCCGCTGCCCCGCTCTGCGCGTGGCCGAGAAGAAGGGTGGGTACCGCACCATGGCCAGATGCGGCGTGCGCAGGCGAGGGGAGGGGGGGGGACCAGAGGACGTGCCTCGAGAGAGGAGCTCGACTAGGGGATCGACCGCAGAATCGCAGAATCGCTGTGCCACGATATCGGTTTCCTGTGCGAATCTACAAACAACAAGTCGAATGGCATCGATGACATCGAAATCGACGAAGTTGTGCGATGTGTCCGTGGAAATCGATGACGCCGAATCTACGAACAAACGCGGAGCTTGCTCCGCAGATCTACGAGCAACCGACGCGAGCTTCGTCGACTCGGCGAGGAAAGCCCTTCTGGGGTAGCTCCTTTCTGCAAGCCGATCCCCCACTCGAAGAGCAGGGGGGGCACGAAACCTGGGAGACCTCGTGCCCCCGGCCATGATGTCCACGCCACCCCACCCCTGGGTCCTCGCCCCCCTCTCCGGGGCGCCCCCGAGAAGAGGAGGGTCAGGTTCACGCGCGGCTCCCGCGCGGCGTCCGCGAACTCGAACGGCTCCGAGGCGTGAAATAGGTCCGACACGAAGATCGCCGCGCGGTTCCTGCGCGGGAGGCGCCCGTCCAAACATCCGGCGCCCTGAGCACAGATCGGCAAGAGAACGGAGTCGGCCCGGGCCCGTCGCGCCAGGCTGCACAGAAGCTGCGCAAAATGCACCCGGCCGCATCGGAACGTCGGAATGCCAGCATCGAATCGGACCGAGCTGGCCAGGATCGATATCGGCGATCAGCAATAAATAGGAGGACCCTTAAACCCCGTGAGAGGGGACCCAAATTAGGAGGGCCAAAAAATTGGGACAGGGGGGTCCTCTCTGCAGAGGCACCGAACCAGACCGCCCAGAATGACTACCCCTGATGCAAAGACGGGGACCTCCGTGAGGCTACTCCGAACTTCTTAGGAATCAACAGGGGGTGACAAGCGTGAAAACGCGGCGCGGCCAACCCCCCCCCCCAGCACCACCCCCTTGCCCCAGCGGGGAAGGGAACGAACCCCAGATCCCCCCCGGCACCCCCGCGCACGCGCCGCGGCCAACCCCCCCTGGCACTCCAAGGGGGAGCGATTATCAAGCGATCCAGAGTACGTCTTCATCGTGTTATTAGGGTTAGGGGTTCTTTTGTCCTCAATGAATCGAACTGGATCGATCGGACCGAGATGGACACTGGGTCTGGGCGCCGCAAAACCAGTCGAGACGGCATATGTTTCTGCGTCCGGAGGCCCTTGCCTGGCACCAGAGCCGCCACGGCACGCCTGAGGGCCCAAAACCAGCCCCACAGCGCCACGGCAAGGAGTCGGGGTCCCGAGACGCCCACGTCACGAGAAAGGTGACGAACCAACACCACACACCCATACCCATAGGGGAGTCGGAGAGGGCTATGGGTGCGTGTTGTCGGATGGGGGTCCCCGCTCGAACGGGAGCGTTCCCCAGGGTCTGACAACCCGCACCCATGCCCATAGCCAGTCCTCCTCCCAACGACCCCCTATGGGTATGGGTGTGTGTGTTGTTCGTTCGTCAAAAGGGGTAATGCTGGAGGCAAGGGCCAGTATATCGGCCCAGAGCGCTTGTCCGAGCAAGGCAGCCTCCAGGTCGTGGCAGAGTCCTGGAGGGCCACGCGCGCCCAGCTGAAAACAGCCCATTCCTCACCCGATTCGGCAGTCCTGACCATCGCTCGGACGTCCATTTCCTGTGTTTTTTTCGGTTTCGTGCGTGGTTTTTTCGCCAAACGGTCAAGGATGCTCCTCGATGGTCCTCGCCGAGGAAAAAACGCACACGTCCGAGTGATGCCAGGAGTCTTGGAGGCGAGGGCAGGGCCACCGTGGGCCCCGCCATGCAAGCACGCCTCCCCAGCCGAAGCCAGGAGGGCCTCTGCACCGTCCCAGGGCAGAGGACCGCCCTGGCCTGGCACGGCAGAAGAGAGGACGGCTCCACAAACATCACCCCCTCGATGATGGAAGTACGGCGTTGCCCGTCCACCTCGGGAAACCTCTGGGGGCCTCCAAGAGCCTCCGGAAACTTCCGCTAGACCTTCGAAGGCCCTCCTCTTCCTCGAATCCGATATTCCCCGCGAGAATCGAAGTAAGGTGTTGCCTGCTCACCTCGGGAAGCCTCCGAGAAGAGAGGACGGCATAAACACAAGCCTTCGGAGGTCCGCGCGGGGTCCTTGGATCGACACTGGTCCGCCTCCCAGACGCACGGAGCGCGCCGGTGGCGGCGCCGGAGGGGGGCCTATAGCGCCGATCCAGGCAGTCCGCGCGGACCCCCGAGAGCGTATGCATTACAGTCAACGCGCATATACTCTAGGCGATGCTTCAGAGAACCCAAGTTTTCGGCCAGAGTCTCGATGATTCTTAATGTTCCAATGTAGATCCTAAGATTTGAATAGACATTCTGGGTTTTTATGCAAATTCTGAGACTATGAATTTCTTAACCCATGATTTCTAGAGCATTTCGCAGGGTGTAGTAAGGACAAACGACTTTTTCAAGGGTGCCCTTGGGTCCTTGCCTGCCTCAGCCTCTGCGGCCCGGCCCCAGCAATTTTCGCAGGCCAGGATACTTCGACTTCGGCCTCCAAGGGTCTTGCGTCCTTACCACGCGTCCTTACTATACGTTTTCACTGTAGGCTTACGGTCGGGCTGCTGAACTACGGGACGCTACATCTCAGGAACGAAGCCCTTTCTCGGTGGGCACCAGAAGCGCCTGGGTGAACGAGGAGGGCCAGAGGAACCTCCGCGCAAGGACAAGGAACAGCGAGCCCCATCCAAATCCAGCGCGGCCCTCGCCCTCTGCGGGGCTCCTGCGGTAGCCCACGTGCCGGACGGGCCCAGCGGCGAGGAGCACCTCCCGAAACGCCGCCTCCTCGCCCCTCGAGGCGAACTCGCGGTTGAACTCGGCGACTCCGGCCTCGGTGGGCGGCACGCGCACGCGTGGCAGAAGAAAGAACGGCAGAACCATGCACTTTGGGCGCTCCGCGCGGCTTCCGTGGATCCGCGCTGGACCTCCCTCCCTGGAGGGGACGGCGCCGGAGGCGCCGCCGTGGGGGCCCAGCGCGGATCCAAGAAAACCCGCGCGGAGCGCCACAAAAGTTTATGTTCATGGCGTATTTTCTTCTTCCGATGTATCGGGAGCGGCCAAGAGGGGGGCGTCCAAGAGGGGGGGCGCAAATCATGACCGGCGGCATGTGCGCGGCCCAGCGGGGGGGCCAGGGAACGTATTGAAACAAGAAGAGGCGCCAAGAGATCTGGGGAGATCTCATGGCCCCCGCCATGAGATCCCCCCCCCCTAGTCATCACCCCCCTCTTTTCCGCCCCCGGTATTCCCCCCTTCCCATATTTTCCCAGATGGTCTGGGGAATCGACGATGAATTGTGTCTGTGTGTGCGCTTGTTTTCCCCCTCCCGAAAAGTCCAATCAGAAGATCGGATCGCGGAGGAGGAGGAGGAGGATGTCGCCCTAGTCATCACCCCCCTCTTTGCCGCCCCCGAGATGTACACGTCCAGCCCGCCGCCGGTCTTCCGCGCGGAGTCGGGGGTGAGCCAGACGTTGACGTTCACCGCGGCGACGTCGGCGTGGACGGCGGGCGGCGCCCGCGAGGGGTTGCCGCGAGGGGGGCGGGTGCACGGCTTCCCCCCGGGGCCGTAATTAGGCGACCCGAGGAGGAGGAGGAGGAGGAGGAGGAGGAGGAGGAGGGAGGAGTAAGGAGGCGGAGGAGGAGGAGGGGGAGGAGGAGGAGGGGGAGGAGGAGGAGGAGAGGAGGAGGAGGATGGGGGAGGGGAGAGGAGGAGGGGAGGGGGGGAGGAGGAGGAGGAGGAGGAGGAGGAGGAGGAGGAAGGTGGAGGAGGAGGAAGAGGAGGAGGACGATGAGGCGGAGGAAGAGAGGAGGAGGAGGAGGAGGAGGAGGAGGAGGAGGACGGGTCGCCTAAGCCCTTCGGAGAAACCCTCCAAGGAGGGGTGGGCTCACAGCAGGGCAGCGGGCCCCGCGGCCCTCCTGTGCGCCGGGAGGTGGGGGGGCCGACCCCACGCGAGGCACGCCCCGATGCGAGCCTCAACTCGCCCGGGCGTGCGCACAAAGCAGGAAGAGGAGGAGGAGGAGGAGGAGGAGGAGGAGGCTGGGAGGAGATGGAGGAGGGGAGGAGGAGGAGGAGGAGGAGGAGGAGGAGGAAGAGGAGGAGGAGGAGATGGAGGCGGGGAGGAGGAGGAGGGGAGGAGGAGGAGGAGGAGGAGGAGGCGGGGAGGAGGGAGGAGGAGAGGAGGAGGCGGAGAGGACGGGGAGGAGGCGGGAGGAGGAGGAGGAGGAAGAGGAGGAGGAGGGGGGAGGAGGAGGAGGAGGAGGAGGGGAGATGGAGGCGAGGAGGAGGAGGAGGCGGGGAGGAGGAGGAGGGGGAGAGAGGAGAAGGAGGAGGAGGAGGAGGAGGACGGGTCGCCTAAGCCCTTCGGAGAAACCCTCCAAGGAGGGGTGGGCTCACAGCAGGGCAGCGGGCCCCGCGGCCCTCCTGTGCGCCGGGAGGTGGGGGGGCCGACCCCACGCAAGGCACGCCCCGATGCGAGCCTCAACTCGCCCGGGCGTGCGCACAAAGCAGGAAGAGGCGGAGGAGGAGGAGGAGGAGGAGGAGGAGGCTGGGAGGAGATGGAGGAGGGGAGGAGGAGGAGGAGGAGGTGGAGGAGAGAGGAGGAGGAGGAGGAGAGGAGGAGGCCGGAGGAGGAGGAGGAGGAGGAGGAGGAGGAAGAGAAAGGAGGAGGAGGAGGAGGAGGAGGAGGAGGAGGAGGAGGAGGAGGAGGAGGAGGGCCCGCCCGGCTCCTGAGGAGCCTGCTCGGAAGCCTCGTGGGGCCTTCCCGGAGCAGGGCCCCCGCCCTCCGAGAGGGGCCTCTCGCGTGCCCTCGCGGCGGGGGCGGCCCCCCCCTCGCGCCGGCCCCGCGCAGGAGCGCCGCCGGGATGGCGATGCCGTTCGGCGAGGACGCGGTGTACTTGAACAGCCACCACAGGCCGAGGGGGTGGCCTCGGGCGCGGCCGAACCGACCCCTATAGCAAATCATCCCCTGCCGTGCGCCGTTCGAGCTGCCCTCGGGCCGCAGACGTGCGCCTTGGGGCGAGGCCAGAAGGACGTCATTGGAGGGGGATGGCTTGCTAGGGGTCGGTGAGGCCGCCCCCGGTGGCCGCGCAGCACTGCGGACATCCTGCGCTCCAGCGACCGCGCGGCCGACAAGATGACGGGGTGCACGTTCCCGTCGCCGGGGAAGGCACCCAGGAAGCCGTTCCTCACCGTCCGGAAGCAGGGCGCCTCACAAGCGTATAACGGGGAACATGGAACGGCACGGGCACATATGGTCGGAGGTCCGCGCAGATTTGTTTCGCGTCGGCGCTGGACTCCCCAACCCTGGCGCGGGGGCGGCGCCAGAGGCGCCGCCAGGGGCTCTAGCGCCGAACCCAGAAGTCCGCACGGACCTCCGAAAGTTTATGCTGATGCCGCTCTCGCGTTCTCCGAGTATGCCCAGAGCTCCTCCAGGGCCTCCGGGGCGAAGAAGTCGTCCACCACGACGAGCTGGCTGGCCAGGTACTCCTCCAAAGGAGGGCATGGCGACCCCAAAGCCCAGACCTCGGGAAGTTCTCGACTGGACCAGCCAGTGGAGCTTCGACTTGGGGGTGCACGATGGTGGGGGCGCCCATCCTCGGGGCGAAACCGAGTACGTAGCAGGCCCCCGGAGCTGTACCCCCAGTGCCAGTGCCCCCCCCTTTCTGAGCGCCCTGAGTTGGGAGGGGGGGGACAAAGGGATGACGCGGCGGTCAAACTCGAAGGGGCCCTGGGACACACAGGTAGATGGACACGAATGACCGGGTTCCCACACGTTCCAATAGTTGGGGGTTTGTTGTACTCCCCCCTTCCCAGATTTTCCCATGTTTTCTGGGGAGTCGACGATGACTTGTGTCTGTGTGTGCTTTTTTCCCCTCCTGAAAAATCCACACACAAGTAGACAGACACAAATGACGGGGATCCCATACTTTCCAACAGTTTGGGTTTTTTGTACTCCCCCCTTCCCATAGTTTCCCAGATGTTCTGGGGGATCGACGATGAGTTATGTCTGTGCGTGTTTTTTGTTTTCCCCTCCCGAAAAGTCCAGTCAGTAGATCGGATCGGATCGGCCCGTGCCTCGCATCGGGTCACGTGTCGGGAGCGCCCAAGAGGGGGGTGTCCAAGTAGGGGGGGGTGCAAGAGTCGAAATCTATAGAGAACTCGTCCCTGGAGGAGTAATTTTACGATTCTTGAACATCCCCTCCTGTTCGCAGAGGGACCTGCCCGACTTCATCCAAGGCCGTCCGGACCACCCCTCGGGAGCGGCCAAGAGGAGGGTGTCCAAGAAGGGGGGCGCAAATCATGACCGGCGGCATGTGCGCGGCCCAGCGGGGGGGCCAGGGACGTCACAAAACAAGAAGGGGCGCCATGACATCTGGGGAAATCTCATGGCCCCCGCCATGAGATCCACCCCCCCCCCTAGTCATCACCCCCAGGGAACCCGAGAAACTGGCCTGCGAAAATTGCTCGGGACGGGCCGCAGAGGCTGAGGCAGGCAAGGACCCAAGGGCACCCTCAAAAAAGTCGTTTGTCCTTCCTATGCGCGTTGACTGTAATGCATAAACTCTCGGGGGTCCGCGCGGACTTCCTGGATCCCCTCTGGCGCCGCCACTGGCGCGCTCCGTACGTCTGGGAGGCGGCCCAGTGTCGATCTAAGAAACCCGCGCGGACCTCCGCAGGCTTGTGTTCATGCCGTCCTCCCTTCTGCCGTGCCAGGCCAGGGCGATCCCCTGCCCTGGGACGGTGCAGAGGCCCTCCTGGCTTCGGCCGGGGAGGCGTGCTTGCATGGCGGGGCCCATGGTGGCCCTGCCCTCGCCTCCAAGACTCCTGGCATCGCTCGGACGTGTATGCTCTGGGGAATCGACGATGAAGTAAGTCTGTGTGTTTTCTTCCCTCCTGAAAAGCCCCATCAGTAGATCGGATCGGATCGGCCCGTGCATCGCATCGGGCCACGTGGGCAGACACGCCAGAAGCTCTTCCAGGGGGGGGGGGAGGAGGAGGAGGAGGAGGAGGAGGAGGAGGAGGAGGAGGAGGAGGAGGAGGAGATAAGGAGGAGGAAATAAGGAGGAGGAGGAGGAGGAGGAGGAGATAAGGAGGAGGAGATAAGGAGGAGGAGGAGGAGGAGGAGGAGGAGGAGATCGGCCCGTGCACCGCACCGGGCCACGTGGGCAGGCACGGGGCCTGGCGTCGGGTCGAGCCGCCCGCGCCGGGCTGCGCCGCAGCGCGTCAACGCGGCGGCATCGGGGGCCGCACGGGAGCGGGCCGGCCGGAGCCGGCATCGAATCGGGTCGCATCGACGAGGCAAATTTTTTGTCGGGTCGCGTCGCATTCTCCTCCTCCTCCTCCTCCCCCTCCTCTTCCTCATCCTCCTCCTGCGCCCCCTGCCCCTGCTCTTCCCCCCCCCCCCCAGGCCGCGCGCGCCTGTCGCGCGCCAGGCGGACGTCGACGAAGAGCGCGACGCAGAGCGGCCCCGACCCAGAGCAAAACGACACCACAGATGAGGAAAACGACGCGTCTCAAAGGCAATTTCTTTGTTGCACCAAATCCGAGCACACCATGCCCCTGGGCGGCCCCTTTCAGAGCAGGGAGCAGCAGAACACGGATGGCACTACATAGGGGGAATAAAACGCGTCTCGATGAGGCAACCGCATGTGAACCCTACCTCGAGGACGGGCCCGTCCTCATGCCAGCGGATTTCGGAAGAAAAATCAAAAGCAGTCATGAAATACTCAAAACCATCCCAAAATAGTGGCCGGATCCGATATCCGATATCGAATCGGGTCGCATCGAATCGACTTCGCTCAGGAGCGGGCTGGCCGGAGCCGACATCGAATCGGGTCGCATCGACGAGGCAATTTTTTCCCAGAGCACAACGGCACCACAGACGAGGAGAAAGACGCGTCTCAGATGCCACCTCTTTGTTGCACCATGCCGAGCACACCATGCCCCTGGACCCCTTTCAGAGCAGGGAGCAACAGAACACGGGTGGCGCTACATGTGAGGAATAAAACGCGTCTCGATGAGGCAACCGCATGTGAACCCTACCTCGAGGACGGGCCCGTCCTGATGCCAGCGAAGTTCGGAAGAAAATCAAAAGCAGTCATGGAATGCTCAAAAACCATCCACTAAATAATGGGAAAACCGTCCCCCGACTATTTCCTCACTACTTTTGAGCCTTCCTCCCGTAGAAGGCAATACCCGACTTAATCCGGATTGCCTCTGCAGGTGAGATGTCTTACAAGCGGGCTGGGGTCCGGCATCGGCTGGGACGTCTGCCTCCAGGCGTGAGCCCCAGCGGAGGCGTCCGAAGCCTCGGCTTCGAGTGAACCCGCAGGGGGCAGCGGTCGCACGTGGCCACCGATCGATCGATGTCGATGTCGATGTCGGATCTGGGGGCGGGAAATCGGCCGCGGCCTTTGGAGACCTCCCAGATGGGGTCGGTGTAGGCAAGGTCGGAGCATCGCGCCGCATCACCAGTGCATCACCCATGCATCGGCAGTGCATCAGCGACGCATCGGCGACGTCGGCGTGGAGAAAATCGGGCTCCACATCGATCCGCATCGGCGATGCATCGGCGATGCATCGGCGATGCATCGGCGTTGTGGCGCCATCCTCCGACCTCATCTACGCTTACCCACACCTGGGAGGCCTAGAACGTGATCGCAGATCGAACGAAATCGATGTCGAGTCAGAGCGAGAATCATTCGCCTGCTAATGTGGGGTCAGACTTCTGGTCAGAAACAACGAAGAGCAAACTAAGGAACACATTCCCCAATCAACGCGTGCACTGACCACTTACAAGGGTTCTTGCTTCTTCTCTCAGGAACTGTACCGTGTGGGCGGTCTGGCGCTTATGCTATGGCCGTCGCCGCCCCGTCGCCGCCTCCTCGCCGCCTCGTCGCCGCCCGTCGTCTGGGCCGTGTGGCCGGTCTGGCGGCTATGTTCGGGCCGTCCCCGCCCCGTCGCCACCTCGTCGCCGCCCGTCGTCTGGGCCGCGTGGTCGGTCTGGCGGTTCGTTTTCCGCCGTCGCCGCACGGGCGCCGCCTCGCCGCCGCCCGTCGCCGCCGTTGGATGGGACCACAAAGATGGCACGAAAAAACGATCGCGCCTGCGGCGCGCTTCCTGATCGCGCACAACCTAGACTGCACCACATAGAGCGCAAGATTGCACCACAAATACTGCACAACGTACACCGCACACACACACACACACACACACACACACACACACACACAGATTGCACCACATAGATTGCACTACATACTCCAGATTTCGTAATGAAAGGGAGGGGGTCTGGACCCTCCCAGACAAGCCATTTCAGACCCCCCCCCGTGGGAGAACCCTCCAAAACATCGTCCCCAGACCCCCCCACGCCCTCCAAGATAGCCTGGAAGAGACCCCCCCCGAAATGAGACCCCCTCCCTTTTATTACGAAATCTGGAATACAGATCTTGCACTGCACAGATAGCACCACATAGATTGTACAGCATATATTGGTAAAGAGCAAAAATGTTCGGGGCCCACGCTGGAAGTACGGGCCCAGGCGAAGAATCTCCAGAGGGGGTTGCTCAGGAAAAACACAGGAACACCACATTGAGCTCTGGAGGCACGCACAAGAAAACAGAGCACATCCAGGGGAATGAGCTCACCGCTTCCTGACCCCCAAAGGCTGACCCCCAGATCAGCAAGCGCAGGAGGGAAATCTTGATGGGCCTGTTTTCCACCACCACCACCAGAAATTGGAGGGGGGAAAAAGGTGGAGGAGGAGGAGGAGGAGGAGGAGGAAGAGGAGGAGGAGGAGGAGGAGGAAGAGGGGGAGGAGGAGGAGGAGGAGGAGGACCACTTCCCACTCCAACTCATGGTGCTGGCGGTGGAAAACAAGCCCATCTAATCTCCCAGGGTCTTCGCACACGGCGGCCCCAGTCCACTGAAGCGTTCACCCCTTCCTGACCCTCAAAGGCTGACCCCCACATCCTCGTCTTGGCGGCCCTGCTGCACCTGTGCGCGGGCGCCCCTTTTCCTGCACGGCGCCTACGGAAAGGGGCAGAGCGGCGAGCACCTCGCCGAGTACGGCGCCCTGGGTCAAGGGCAACCAGGGGGGGGGGTAACCGCATGTGGGCCCAATCCCAACCCACTGGGCCCAATCCCAACCAACTGGGACCAATCCCAACCAGTGCGAAAAGCAAACTGGGCCCAATCCCAACCACCTTGGGATAGCCCCACAATAGGATGTCACTTGAAGAGAAGCCCCAGACGACTGCGAAGACCAAGCGACACCCCTTATGTCAACGCAGAGGATCTGGGAGCCAACATGCGCGCTCGAGTTGGAATTGGTCACAGTTTTTGGTCTGCGCACGGGCACTACGTTAAGATGAGCAAGGGGGCACCGAAGCGTAAGCAACAACGCACCGAATTGCATCGATTCAAAAATATACGAATGGATCCTCCTAGTACTAGTAGTAGTAGTAGTAGTAGTAGTAGTAGTAGTACGTAGTAGTCGTAGTAGTAGTAGTAGTGGTCATAGTAGTAGTAGTAGTAGTAGTAGTAGTAGTAGTAGTAGTAGTAGTAGTAGTAGTAGTAGTGGTAGTAGTAGTAGTAGTAGTGGTGGTAGTAGTAGTAATAGAAGAAGTAGAAGTAGTAGAAGTAGTAGGAGTAGTAGTAGTAGTAGTAGAAGTGTAGTAGTAGTAGTAGCAGTAGTAGTAGTAGTAGTAGTAGTAGTAGTAGTAATAGTCGTAATAGTAGTAGTAATAATAATAATATTGAGGGTGGCAGCAGTAGTAGTCGTAATCGTAGTCGTAGTAGTCGTAGTAGTCGTGATAGTCGTAGTAGTAGTAGTCGTAGCAGTAGTAGTAGTGGAAGTAGTAGTAGTAGTAGTAATAGTAGTAGTAGTAGTGGTAGTAGTAGTAGTAGTAGTAGTAGTAGCGATCGTAGTAGCAATAGTAGTAGTAGTAGTAGTAGTAGTAGTAGTAGTAGTAGAAGTAGTAGTAGTAGTAGTAGCGATAGTCGTAGTAGTAGCGAAACAGGTAGCAATTGTAATAGCAGTAGTAGTAGCAGTAGAAGAAGAAGTAGTACTAGTAGTGGTGGTAGTAGTAGTAGTAATAGTGGTGGTAGTAGTAGTCGTAGTAAAAGTAGTCGTAGTCGTAGTCGTAGTTGTAATAGTCTTAATCGTAATAATGGTAGTAGTGGTCGTCGTAGTAGCAGTAGTAGTAGTAGTAGCAGTAGTAGTAGTAGTAGTCGTAAACGGTGTCGTAGTTGTAGTCGTAGTCGTAGTAGTAGTCGTAGTCGTAGTAGTCGTAGTAGTAGTAGTAGTAGTAGTAGTAGTGGTAGCAGTAGTCGTAGTAGTAGTAGTCGTACTATTCGTAACTTTAGTCCTAGTAGTAGTAGTCGTAATAGAAATTGTGGGATTACTAATGTTAAGAGTAGCACTTGTAGTCGTAGTAGTTGTAGTAGTAGTAGTAGTAGTAGGAATAGTAGTGGTAGTAGTAGTAGTCGTCGTAGTAGTCGTAGCAGGCGTAATCGTATTAGTAGTAGTAGTAGTAGTAGCAGTAGTAGTAGTAGTAGTAATACTCGTAGTAGTAGTGAAATAAGTAGCGATAGTTGTAGCAGTAGTCGTAGTAGTAGTAGTAGAAGTAATAGTAGTAGTAGTAGTAGTAGTAGTAGTACTACTACTAGTAGTAGTAGTAGTAGTAGTAGTAGTCGTAGCAGTAGTAGTAGTAGTAGTAGTCGTAGTAGTCGTAGTAGTAGTAGTAGTAGTAGTGGTAGGAATAGTGGTGGTAGTAGTAGCCGCAGTAGAAGTAGTCGTAGTCGTGGGCGTGGTTGTTGTAGTCTTAGTCGTAATAATGATAGTAGTAGTAGTAGTAGTAGTAGTCGTCGTAGTAGTAGTAGTGGTAGTAGTAATAACAGTAGTAGTAGTAGTAGTCGTCGTAGTCGGTGTCGTAGTCGTAATGGTGGTAGTAGTAGTAGTAGTAGTAGTAGTAGTAGTAGTGGTAGTAGTAGCAGTAGTATTAGTAGTAGTAGTAGCCGTACGAGTCGTAGTGTACTGGTAGTAGTAGTCGTAGTAGTAGTAGTAGTAGTCGTAGTAGTAACAGTAGTAGTAGTAGTAGTAGTAGTAGTAGTAGTAGTAGTAACAGTAGTAGTAGTAGTAGTACTACTAGTAATATTAGTAGTGGTAGTAGTAGCAGTAGTATTAGTAGTAGTAGTAGCCGTACGAGTCGTAGTACTGGTAGTACTGGTAGTAGTAGGAGTAGTAGTAATAGTCGTAGTAGTAAGTAGTCGTAATAGAATTCGTAATAATATTATTATTAGTAGTAGCAATAGTACCACTCATAGTAGTAGTAGTAGTAGTAGTAGTAGCAGTGGTGGTGGTGGTGGTGGTAGCGGTAACTGGTAGTAGTAGTAGTAGTAGTAGTAGTAGTAGTAGTACGTAGTAGTAGTAGTAGTAGTAGTAGTAGTAGTAGTAGTAGTAGTAATAGTAGTAGTAATGATAATAGTAGTAGTAGTAGTAGTAACAGTACTAGTACTAGTACTAGTAGTAGTAGTAGTAGTAGTAGTAGTAGTGGTAGTAGTAGTAGTAGGAGTAGTAGTAGTAGTCGTAGTAGTCGTAGTAGTAGTCGTAACTAGTAGTAGTGGTAGTAATAGTAGTAGTCGTAGTAGTAGTAGTAGCAGTAGTAGTAGTAGTACTAGTACTAGTAGTAGTAGTAGTAGTAGTAGTAACAGTAACAGTAGTAGTAGTAGTAACAGTAGTAGTAGTAGTAGTAGTAGTAGTAGTAGTACTAGTAGTAGTAGTAGTAGTAGTAGTTGTTGTTGTAGTAGTAGTAGTAGTCGTAGTAGTAGTAGTAGTACTACTAGTAATATTAGTAGTGGTAGTAGTAGCAGTAGTATTAGTAGTAGTGGTAGGAGTAGGAGTAGGAGTAGTAGTAGTACTATTAATAGCAGTTCTAACGAATCCTGAAGAGTTCCGAAGATTTCGAAGGGATCCGGAGGAATCTGGAAGATCCCATCCGTGGTTGGAATTGGTCTCATTTTTGGTTGGGTTGGAATTGGTCTCATTTGTGGTTGGAATTGGTCTTTTCTGGTTGCAATTCGCTCCGAACGGTTGGAATTGGGCCTAGTCGGTTGTAATTCGTTCCATTTCGGGGGGTAACCTCGGGGGGCCTGCAATTTTGAGGATGCCACCCCTTGCTTCCCCGGCAAGGAACAACTCATCCTGGCATCAGCTCATCTTCATGACCCCGCGCTCGGGCAGGCGCGGGAAGGAAATCTGTCATTGTCCTCGGACACGGCGGCCCACGCGTGTGCGCGTAATGTCTGCGAGCGCTTGCGTGCGCGTCTGCCGGCGAAGTGTCGCCGCACAGTCTCGGGGGCACCCCGAGCGACCAGGATCGGCGGGACTAGCCGAAGGCCACTACAGTCTCCCAGGGTCCTCGGACACGGCGGCCCAGTCCACGGAAGCGTTCAGCGGGTCCGGCGGGCAGCCGCCCGCGCCGCTCCACGCCGCGAGCCGCGCCGCCGGGTAGCCCGCGCTGGAGCGGCCGAGGTCGTCGAAGAGGCCCCTCCTCAAGAGCGCCACCTCCTGGGCAAGGTAGGACGATGAGGAACAGGAGGAGGAGGAGGAGGAGGAGGAGGAGGAGGAGGAGAGGAAGGCGGGGAGGAGGGGGAGGAGGAGGAGGAGGAGGAGGAGGAGGAGGGAGGAGAGGAGGAGGAGGAGGAGGAGGAGGAGGAGGAGGAGGAGGGGAGGAGGAGGAGGAGGAGGAGGAGGAGGAGGAGGAGGAGGAGGAGGCGATCGACAATAAATCCATGCCCCTGCTTACGCCCCGCCCCCACGAGAGGCCAGAGCAGCGACATGGATCAGAAAATCCGGCCCCAGGGGCCACGCGTCTCTGTTCCATGCCCGGTTGCCCTTGGCGCCGAATGGGGGGCAGCAGCAGGAGTGCCCATCGGTCGGAAGGAGCAAGTAGAAACCTGAAGCAAAAAGGCGAATAACATACATGGGGCTCGGGCCCGCCCAGTGAGTAACAGAACGCAACATAAGGTATATCAACTCTTGAAGTAGGAAGACGCTTGAAGTAGATTGGGTTCTGCGAGTCCAAAGAGACCGACTTCCAACGACCGATGGGCATGGATCGAACGTCGGTCGCCAAGAGGGCCCCGACAGCCTCGCGCCGTGAAGGAGAAGCACGGCTGAAAGTTTATTAACAGCGTCGGGCCCCTGGGGGGGGGCCCGCCCCATGCCCACGGCACCGTCGCATAGACGGCTCGGGGTGAGGGCCCACTCCCTTGGAAGAGGACAGTAAACCTCGGTGTAACCACGCTGCCCCCCCTAAAAAAGAAAAACGCGACGTCGGATGCCTGGGGAATGACCCAAAAAATAACGCATCATTGCGAACGCACCTGAAGGCGCAATCGATCACGGCAGACCTGTTCAGCAAACGCCCAAGAGCGCGATGAAGACGCCACTGGTGTAAGCCTGGTGGTTCTTCCTCCCTGGGTCCTCGCCCGCAAGCTGCTCCAGCTCTGGGCCAGAGGAGCAGAGAAAGGCACGAGCATAAAACGCTCCGAGGTCCGCGCGAAAACATTTGTCAAATTCGCAGCGACAACAAAGACCATTTCTTTAATGTTTGGGGCATGACGGGCGTCATGGCCCCCGCCCCCCCCCTATGACGTAACGTTCCCCCACCAGTGCGCTCCGGGCACTGCCGCCGTGCGCACTGGGATCTGCGTAGGTTTCCGCGTAGGAATCCGCAGTGGAGTCTGGCCCGCAGTCGTCGTCGCCGACGTCGTCGTCGTCGTCGTCGCTCGTGGCTCGCGGCTCGTGGCTCGTGGCTCGTCGCTCATCGTCGTCGTGCGCGCGGACGCTGCTGTAGCCAGTTTTTGTTTCATTCCGGGCCGATGATGGCAATCATCTGGGGGGGGTGGAAGGGGTCGATGACGTCACGTTTCGCGCCGGCGGCGCTTGGGAATGCCTAGGAATGACGGAGGATGGGTGGCACCAGCATGTAGGTGGCGATCTGCACCACAACGCCTGTGTACACCTCAGTGCCTGCGTGCACCACAGCGCCTGTGTACACCACACAGCCGATGTACACCACAGCAGCCGCGTGCAACACAGCGTCAATTTGTGCCACCGCGCGCGCGGGCACAACAGCTGTCGTGTACACCACAGCGCCTGCGCACACCACATCAGCCGTGTGCAACACAGCAGTGTACACCACAATGCCTGCGTGCATTGTAGTGCCTGTGTGCACCACGGCGCTTGTGTGCACCACAGCAACCGTGCAAAACAACACCACTATTGTATGTAGAATGTGAAAAAGGAATCGTTATGACAAAATGGAGCGTCTGTGGATTCCACCGAGAACACCCGAAAATAATCTTTATGGAGAAGGAAGCGCCAGGGGAATCTACGAGTCCTTCCGAATTCGCCCGCGTCACCGTAACTCCTCCCATCTGCGTCCAAGTAGCCATCCCAGAACCAAGTGGACCGATTCAATAGACCATTCTGCGGTGCACGCTGAGTTGCGCACGTGCATTGTAGCGCCAACCCGCACGACAGGGGGCAAGGAGAAGGAGGAGGAGGAGGAGGAAGAGAAAAAGGAGGAGGGGGAGGAGGTGGAAATGGAGGAGAAGGGTGGAAGGAAAAACGTCGCATTCGTTTATCAGCACTTTCCTGGCGTGGCGCTTCCACAGCAAATCCTCACGTACAGGCTCCTTCAACCTGCCCTATGCACGCAGGCACTCTGGTGTACAATAGCGCTGCGTTGCACGCGGATGCTGTGGTGTAGACAGGCGCCGTGGCGTGCACAGGCGCCGCGGCGCACGCAAGCATTGTGGTGTACACAGGCGCTGTGTTGCACATGTTTGCCTCTAATGTGCACATGTACACCCGCGCTGCAGTGTACGCAAGCACTGCAATGTACACCGGTGCTGCGTTGCACACGGTTGTTGCGATGTACGCAGGCGCTGTGGTGTACACGCGCGCTGTGGTGCACGCGAGCGTCGTGGTGTACACAGGCGGAGGGGGGCAGATCGCCACCTACATGCTGCTCGGGTCGTCGTCGTCGTCGTCGTCGCTTGTCGTCGCGTTTTGCGCGCGGGCGCGGCTGCGGTGCCGGAGCCACTCGGCGGGGGGGGGCGTTACGTCATAACCCCCCCCCGCCCCCCCCCTGACGCCCGTCATCGCCGAACATAAAGAAACGCTCTCTTTTAACAGGCGTTATGGGAAGAGAGGGAGGGGGGCGAGGAGAGCATAACGCGACGATCCCCTCCGCCGTCATGCGGGTCGAGCACCACAGACTGTGGTGCCAGACGCACTGGGGCGCGGGGGGGAGCGCTACGTGATGGGAAAGGGGGAAGGGGAAGAGAAGGGAAGGGAGAGCATAACGCACGCTATGTCCCAAAAAATGAAAAACACTCTCCGTGGAGTTTGTCCTGTCGACCCCGGACACCCCCCATCCCCTTGGCGCGCCCCGCGCGCCGGGCGGCTGCGCCAAGAGGCGCGACCGGGGACTCTCCGGCGCCGACCAACGGGGGAAGCTCGTTGAGCATCGTTAAACCGATCCCCATCCCCACCAGCGTGGGCTGGGCCCCACTGGCCGATGTACCCCCCTGGATGAGATATAGGCTCTGCCCCCGTCGGGTTTCGAGGGGCACATCCCCAACTGAGGTGGCGAAGCGGTGGGACTCGATTTGGACGCCCGAAATGGGTACGGAAACAATGGGTACAATGCCCAACAACAAATGTTGTCCCAAACCAACAGCGGCCGCTGTTCGGCAGGCGGCCTTCTGTCTCGAATGGACACAGGCCGCGGCGGCGTGGACAGCGAATCCTGTTCAAAATGAACAGGAACTGCTGTTGGGCATCGTACCCATTCTTTCCGTGCACATTTCGGGTGTCCAGACTCGAGATGGGGATGGGGATGGGGATGGGGATCGGCTGAAAGATACTGACCCGCGCGGGCCGGCGGGGGAACTCCGTGCCGCCTTCTGCTCCGCGACGGGTACCGCCGGCAGTCGCCGCCGCACCGCGCCTCCACGCGACCGGCCACCTCCTCCAGCGCGGCCGCCGCCTCCTCTCTCGGTGGCTCGAAAATGGGGTCCTGAGGTGTGTGTTTGTGTGGAGTTCTGGGGACGAGGTTCAGGTCGGGCATGTCCTCCTACAGTGGGGGCTCGGCCACAAGAAACCTCCGCAAGAAACCCAACCCTGAAATACGCGATCTGTTCAGTGAAAATCCACATGTGTCCATCGAAAATCGCCAAGATCTGATTGGGAGCCCATCAAAATCCAAGAAACCCAGGGCACCCTGGCAAAATCCAACTGGTTTCTTGGCACGCGCCCCCACTATACAGGGGGAGGACGAAAAGTCAACTGCCCGTGGACGTACCAGCCCTCTTGTACACACGA